AATTTGTAGTACAAATTCAAAATTATCAGAACGAAGAAAAATGCCTTCAAAGCCAACTATAGGTAACCTACAGCGCTTTTGTTTAACTTTACTCACTAGTGCCTAAGAGTTACTTTATGCACTTCGCACTCCAAAGTGGGTTGAAGGGAAAAAGAAATAAAATATCTTTTTATTATTTGTATTGTTCATTTTCCGTGTGGCCCACACGGTGTGGAGTTGCAATCAGGTTGGGTAAAATAAAATGTATCTTGTATCTAAGGATCTAGATACTTTTAAAAGGATCTAGATACTAAAGTAGATCCTGATTTTTTTAAGTATCTCGATACGTATCTAGGTACATAAAATGTATCTAGATCCAGTATCTAGATACATGTATCTCGATACATTACATCACTGATTGTTTGTGTGTCTACAGACATTTGTCCGTTGGCCAACGGCAACTCGATCAGCAGCGTGGTGCTGAACTCCAACGGCGACAGCCTGGACACGGCCGGCACCTCCGACGAGAGCAACCAAGGCGCGCCGACGGGCCGCGGCCTAAACGGCAACAGCAACAAAACAAGTTCGGGCGTGGACGTGGCCGCCCTGGACGAGGACACCACCACCTCCTTCACCACCGACAACAGCCCGCCGCCGTCCGCCCTGCTGCTGCAAAACGACGAGACCAACGACTCCCTAGTCTCGGCAGACAGGTAATTCTTTCATTCAAACATTTTAAACTTTATTGTTAGCTTCTAAGTTTAACCATTTATTGCTGCTTATCATCGCCGCAAATTTATTTTATTTAATTTATTACAAATTTTCTTCAAATCGCTTTATAAATATACAAGTACAAATTTGACAAGTTGGCGCCCAACTATGTTTTTAAATCGTTTTAATAGATTTTTTTGGTAATTTTATAAAAAATATATCTAAAAAAGTGTCATCTTTTCAATGTGTTTTTGGAGTAAAAATGTCAAAAGTGTAAAATTTTGAAACATACTTTTTTGACAATTTTTTAGATTTTTTTTATGAAATTTTCAGGATTAGAAGAAAATTCATCTTTTCAAAGTGGTTTAATTAATTAATTAAAAATTTCCTTTCCCAAACTTTACAAATTGGCGCCCAACTATTTTTTTAAATCGTTTTAATGGTTTTTTTGGTAATTTTATAAAAAATATCTTAAAAAGTGTCACCTTTTCAATGTGTTTTTGGAGTAAAAATGTCAAAAGTGTAAAATTTTGAAAAATAATTTTTTGACAATTTTTTAGATTTTTTTTATGAAATTTTTAGGATTAGAAAAAAATTCATCTTTTCAAAGGGGTTTAATTAATTAATTAAAAATTTCGTTTCACAAATTTAACAAATTGGCATCCAACTATTTTTTTAAATCGCTTCTTTGACAATTTTTTTCTAGAAAAATTTATAAAAAAAAATATATAAAAAGTGTGTCATCTTTCCAATGATGTTTATTTACTTTTTAGAGCAAGAATGCCCAAAGTGTAGAATTTTGAAGAAATAATTTATTTTTAAATTACATTTTCTACAATTGAATCGGTAAAATCAAGAACAGTACAAGTCCAAAATTGAAATTTTTTACAAGTTATTTTATAAAATCATTTTTTAGTTTAAAATGCATTTTTTTTGAGAATATATTAACTATTTTATAAAATATAATAACCATATTTTGTACAATAGTCACAAAAATGCATTTTAAACTATAAAAATAATTTTATAAAATAATTTGTCAAAATTTTAAATTTTGGACTTGTACTGTTCTTGAACTCACCCATTCAATTATTGTTCAGATTTTTTGATAACATTTTTATGGTTTGTAGACAAAACGTCATCTTTTCAGTGGAGTTTTAATTAATTATCACAAATTTAACAAATTATCACAAATTTTACAAATCCTCGCCCAACTATTTTTTTAAATCGTTATCTTCGACAATTTTTTAGTTTTTTTGGTAAAATTTATAAAATATATATATAAAATCTTACCAATGTTCCCACTGTTTTTGTAGTAAAAATGTCAAAAGTGTAAAATTAAAAAAATACCTTTTTTTACCATTTTTAAGATTTTTTGTATGAAATTTTCAGGGTTTATAGAAAAAAAGTCATCTTTTCGTTTTAATTAATTAATTAACTTTTAAACCAACAAAGTCACAAAATTGGCGCCCAACTATTTTTTTAAATCGTATCTTCGACAATTTCTTAGTTTTTTTGGTGAAATTTATAATAAAAATATATAAAAAAGTGTCATATATCCAATTGTTCCCACTGTTTTTGCAGTAAAAATGTGAAAAATACTTTTTTATAATTTTTAATATTTTTTATAGGTTTATAGGAAAAAAGTCATCACAAATTTAACAAAATGGCGCCCAACTTTTTTTTTTAAATCGTTGTATATTCGACAATTTTTTAGTTTTTCTGGTGAAATTTATAAAAAAAATATTTAAAAAAAGTACCTACCTACTGTTTTTGCAGCAAAAATGACAAAAGTGAAAAAATACTTTATTTTTAAATCTCATTTTCTACAATAATTATTATTGTTTAGATTAAAAAAAATGGATATGTAGAAAATCAGTCATCTTTTCAGTGGGGTTTTAATTACTTAATTAATATTTTGTTTAAACCAACAGTCGCAAATTGGCGCCCAACTATTTTTTTTAAATCGTTGTTCTTCGACAATTTTTTTGTTTTTATGGTAAAATTTATAAAAAATTGTGGAGCAAAAATGTCAAAAGTGTAGAAATATTGTTCAGATTTTTTGTTAAAATTTTAAGGGTTTGTAGAAAAAAGTCATCTTTTTAATGTGGTTATAGTTAATTAATTAAAAATTTCGTTAAAACCAACGAAATCACAAATTTTACAAATTGGCGCCCAACTATTTTTTTAAATCGTATCTCAGATATTGTTTGTGAAATTTTTAGGGATTATATAAAAAGTGCCTTCTTAGCAATACTTTTAACATGACAGAATACTTTTTTATCACAATGTGACATTTTTAATAAGCTGTAAATGCAAAACACCTGACAAAATAAACTACCCTGTAGCGGTGCATTATGTAATTAATTTTCAATATGTGATTAATTATCACAAAAACATTTTACAAAATTTTTCTCCATTATTTAGCACCACAAAGGATTCCGTGGGAGAGGATTCCAACAGCTTAGGCGGCGTTCCCACGTTCACCAACACGACCACTTTAAAGCGGCCGCTCGAAAGCGACGAAAACTCGGACGCGGCCGCGAAAAAACTGAAAGACAACGTGGGCGACAAGTGACAAACGCTCCACTACTTTTAACTTTAATTTCTCCTTATACATATTATTATTAATAATATTATATCGATTACACACTTCATTATTTCATACTTTTTTAACTTTAATTATTTTTTAACCATGTTGTAAACACACTAGAGACACAAACAAACACCGTTCAGTTTGGTTTTGCAACTGTTTCAGTTTTTGCGACAGTTGCAAAACCATTGTACATACATAATTATTATTATTATTATTATGTTGTTGTGTGATGCTGTCTGTTTAATTAGAATAAAATCGAAACTTTTCACTCGCCTCAATTTACTTTTCGCCGCATTACGTTGAAAATTCTCGAACACTAAAATGTTACAATCGCACTGCCAATGAAACAAACAAAAAAAATAAGAGAATCGCTAGGCAACCATGTAATAACAACTGCTAGTGATGACGTGTCAAAGGTAAATTGATGCGAGCAGGTTTGAATCGACGCGTGTTAAAAACCGTTAAATAAATAGGGAAAAGAGGAGGACCTTTACCATAAAAATATTTTTATTAAACTAGATTTAACAATCAATTATATAGAAATGTATACCTACCGCTTTGTTGTGATTTGATAAATAGGTATTTCCGAAATAAACACTCTTATAATAATTATAATGAAGATAGAAAAAACTGACTGATAAAAACATTTCGTCAATTTTTCGTTGTAGGTAAATTTGAAGAATCCTAATTAATGCTTATTTATCAAACAACATTGTTACCTACCAGTGAGATAAACGTCGTTTTTTCTTTTGTTTCAAAAAACACAATGTAAAAATTCGCTGTTTTGTCATTTTGTTGCTGTTTATTATTTTTATTTTTAGTCATATTTTTTTTGATACTGTTTCTTATATGATTAACACTTATTACCAATGTAGGATAGATTAAGTAATTTATTTCTTTGTTTTATTGTATTCTCTTCTCCTTCTTCAATCTAAACCATTTTTTAGGCAGTCTCTTTATTATTATTGTTTTTTTTTATTACGTGCTACATTCCAATTTTTCTTTTTTATTATCGAAAATAAAAAACGGGGAATTTTTGCACTTAATTTATGTGTACATATAGTCCTTGTGGCAAGCAATTTTTTGCAAAGATATAACGACTTCAATTGTTTTGGGCTTTGCGAAATCGTCTGTAATGTAACGGAGTACAAAGAAAAAAAAACGATTTTGTAAAGTTCCCAACAAGCAAATTATTATTATTATTGGAACTAATTAATAGCAAAACTACTCCATTTTTAATATGATAAAAATATTTATATATAAAATATATATAGAGACAACAAATAACTGAATGCCTTTTATGAATAAATAATACTAGTAGTTCATACGTATACATACACTTTTACAGAAAAACAAAACAAATAGTTAGCAACGTTAATTTAAATTATATTATAATGAATTATATGGATATATGAATAGTATGGTGTTATTTTTTTATCAGATTTTGGATGTCTTTTGTCAAAATATTTGTTATAATTAAATTTTTATTTTTGCCCCTTTTAATCACTCTTAAATCGCCGCTTTTCCTAACAAGTACTTACTTATTAGAATTGTATTAATTTTCCATTTAATCAAAAGAGATTCATAATCTGAAACGTGAAAAATATCAGTTGTAGAAGATGAGTTTGAGGTTTTTGTAGGATATTTTCATAAATATAAATATTTCACGGCAACTAAAACATTTTATTTTGCTTATACAGCAATTAAAACTCCCATTTTCTTTACCAACTCATTTTAATCCAGTATCCAGGTACAAAAATAATCCATTTTTGATTCAAGCAACAATACACATACAAATTTGCTAAAATATATTTATCAAATAGTGTGATGTAATAAAAAATACAAAATATAATGCAACATCCTTAATCAACTTCATTAATCTAGCCATAAAATTAAAATAGTGCCCCAAATAACTACTCCCCCGTACACCAGCAAACATAACCATCATCTGTATGTTTGATATGCTTGGAGGTGGCGTGAAAAAAGCAAAAACGACTTCGTAGACTAGTAAGGGTGTAAACATTTTGTTCAAACACAATTCTTTTGCAGTAACCGCGTTTAAAAAATGTAATAAAATACAATACATTACAGCCATACAAAGAATAACATGGACCCTAAAATTTATTAAATAGTGCGCAAATTCGGGTTTTTCCAAATCTTCAGTCTCTTGTTTTGTGGATTTTTCTTTGCATTGTGAATTATTTAAACTCATTTCCACATTATTCTCAAATGGTGCACTGAAAACGTCATTTAAAGTATTTACGTTATTCTTTAAACTTAAACCTACAATAAACACACCACAATTATAAACAATTTAACAACTTTCTGCAATAATTTTACCATCGATGCTAATTTCAGACTTTTCTTCAACCCCTAATATTTTATTCAAACGGTTATCGGAATTTTCCAGTATTCTACGACGTCTGGCTTCCCTTCTAGCAGCCACATCTCCCATATTTCACTTTATTTTTCACGTTTTAATCCGTAAAATATACAAATACAAAATCATGTTCAATTTGACAGTAATTTTGACAGATGCAAGGGCGCCACCTACCTACAATGTGAAATACTAATTTTGCAGATATCTGCATTAATTGAAGTGCCACCTATAGTTTCGAGTTTAAATAAATTTACAGATTTCTGTAATAGTTGCTAGAGTATGCGATAGATGACAAAACTTTTCAACAACTTAACCTCAAAAAAAGTGTTTGAAATGTTTTCGCGGTTGGTGCTAATTTAGCATAGTTTTGATGGGATTTTTACGGATAAAAAGCATTTTCGATGTAGTCTATAGAACGTATTCCACAAAAATGACGCGTTTTCTTAACGTCGCAGAGAAAAACGATGCCGCCAAAAATATAGCTGCTATTTTAAGTAGAGGTAATTCTAATAGGGTACGTGCATTACTAACACCCATTATTTGTATTTTAGTTGGATTTTTCGTTGCAGAGAGAAGGTTTATCGCCCTACAACAAAATCTACGAGTTCGAGGGCAATGTTTTCGGCCAGCAAGCTCATATGGTTATGACATCCGTTTCGGGGCATTTATTGAATTACGCTTTCACTTCTACATACAAAAATTGGCAGGGGTGCAACCCTGTGGTGCTTTTTGAGGCCCCTGTGGTCAAAATATGCCTCCCTGATTACGAGAAGATTAAGGTAAGTTTTTATTAATTTAACAAATATTTTGCTGAATTTGTTTGTTAGAAAACTTTGGAGAGAGAAATCCGGTCGTGCCAGGGCCTTATAATATGGACGGATTGCGATCGAGAAGGAGAGAACATAGGTTTTGAGGTCATAAAAGTTTGTAGTGACATTAAGCCCAATTTGAGAATTTACAGAGCAAAATTTTCCGAGATTACTGGTCCGTCGGTCTTCAGAGCCTTAAGCAACTTGTGCCAACCAGATAAGAATGTTAGTGATGCAGTGGATGTTAGACAAGAGCTGGATCTCAGAACAGGTAAATTAAATTTGATTTAAACTAATTTCACAAAGATTTTTTTTAATTTATTATGATTTTAACAATGTTTTTATGATACACAATTTTTGTACTAATTTATTTATTTATTATTAATAATAATATAATAATAAATGTTCTTTATTGAAAAAAATACATTTTTCAAAAGGCCATTTACTTTAGTCTTTCAGCCGGAATATACATTTATTTATTATTATTATTATTATTATTATTATTATTATTCCCAAACATTTTTTTTTACATTTTTATCAAGTTTTATAAGATTTCAATTAGAAATATTTTGCTTTTGTTTAACTATTTAAGATTATATAAATTTTGTTCTTTTTGCAATATTTTTTTCTTTCTTGAATTTTAATATTTTCTTTTGGTTTTTAAATTACATTTTGGTTTTTTAAAGGTTTTTTAGTATTTTTTTTCAATTTTAATTAGCAATATTTTGTTTTTATTCAATAATTTAAGATTTTAGAATTTTTTTCCTTTTTCAATATTTTTTTATTTTGTGAATTTTAATATTTTTTTTATTTTTTTTTCAGTTCTTTTTAAGGTTTTTAGCATATTTTTAGCATTTATAATTAAAAACAAGTGATGCCCTTGGAATAAAAGGGGTATAAGTGCATCTGCCCAGTTAAGCAAAACTGCTTTATCTTTATGTATTTAAATAATTTTTTTAAGAGCTGCTTTCACAAAAAAATCCCTAAAATTTTTTTTTTACATTAGTAATATTTTTTTTTTATTCAATAATTTAAGTTTATAGAAATTTTGTTCCTTTTTCAATATTTTTTTATTTCTTGAATTTTAATATTTTTTTTTAGTTTTTTTATTTTTTTTCAGTTTTTTTTGGTATTTTTTTTTGCATTTATAATTAAAAAAATTGAGGCCCTTGGAATAAATGGGGTATTATACTTATTATAAGTGCATCTGCCCAGTTAAGCAAAACTGCATTATCTCTATCCAAATAATTTTTTTAGGAGATGCTTTCACAAAAAAACCCCAAACAATTTTTTTGACATTTTTATTTCTTGAATTTTAATATATATTTTTTTTAAATTATATTTTTATTTTTTTTGAAGTTTTTTTGCATTTATAATAATAATAATAATAAAAGTGTAGCTGCTCTGTTAAGCAGAAATGCATTATCTTTATGTATTTAAATAATTTTTTTAGGAGCTGCTTTCACAAGGTTGCAAACTTTAAGGTTGCAAAAAGTGTTTCCGCAAAAACTTAGCGACAAATTGATTAGCTATGGGTCATGTCAGTTTCCTACTCTTGGTTTTGTGGTGGACAGATATCAGCAAATTGAAAAATTTATACCTGAACCTTTTTGGAAAATAAAAAGTAGTTATATCTCATAGTAAATTGTTTTTTTGGGGAATATATTTTTTTTTCTAGTGAATCATCGCGTGAAGGATTTAACGACGGAATTTATATGGAAAAGAGACAGATTGTTTGATAAAAACAGCGTGGAAGCGATTTTGGATATTTGCAAGGAAAATCCACAGGCAAAAGTCGAAAGTGTCGAGAGCAAGCAGAAAAGCAAATGGCGACCTGTGCCTTTAGACACTGTTGTAAGAATTAACATAAAAATCTCACGCAAATTCTCTGATAATTATTTTTCAGGAAATGGAAAAAGCTGCCTCGAGGAAACTGCGCATGAACGCCAAGGAGGCGATGAAAATCGCGGAAAAATTGTACACCAAAGGTTTTATAAGCTACCCGCGCACGGAAACCAACATTTTCCCCAAAGAATTGAATTTAACGAATCTGGTGGAAATGCAAAGGGAAGACCAGAGATGGGGACTCTTCGCCACAAGAATAATGAACGAAGGCGGCCCTTCGCCCAGACAGGGCAAAAAAAACCGACCAGGTAGGAACATTTTTACAAATCAGCATAACAAATGTCATCAAAATATTTAAAAAATCAAAATATGAATTTAATTAATTATAGGTTTCCTAAATATTTTAATTTCATATAACATGGGTTAAAATTTAAAAAAAGTTAGGTTAAAACTTTTTGACAGACGTCACTGACAGATGTCACTGACATCATGTCAGATTGGGAAAAAATAATGTTAAAAGCGCTTGACAGTTTTCAGATGTCAGATAAAATGTCAAATAAAACTGTCTTTTAATACGCTAAAGAAGTATCGGGTTTTCGCAACGCGGGCGCCATCTGGTGGACTTCGATAGCATTGCGTGAATTTAAGAATCGTCAACAATACATTTAAAGCATACGAACTGTACATCATTTTTAAATAAATAGGTAGTTTTTTTTAAAAAAGAGAGGAAGGCAGAAGTCTTACTTGACAAATTTTGTTCAATTGCACAGCTAAATCGCGCACATTATTTGTGTTTTACGTTGCAAGGAAAAAACTAAAAAACTGGTTTAGTATTCGATTTCGATTGATTATTCTCTATATCATTGATTAAGAAACTCAACGCTTAAATGCTTGTATAGTTACGTTAGTGTGTGCATTTTATCTAAGGGATCATGGTGGATTATTGTGTTTTTAATTGTAAATAAAATTCAAGAACTAAATCGTTGCATTTTCATGTTTTTCCAAAGGATCCAATTCGGTAAGTACATTTGTTGGTGCAGAATTAACTAATGATAACTTTACCTAATGTAATTTATATAGTAAAAAATAATTTTTGCACAAACATAACCTTAAAATCAACCATTTTTATATTTGAGTTCTCTTAAAAACGCCGACAAGAGCATTTTAAACAATAAAATATACCTACGAATTAATGGCAACATAATATTAGGTATATAAAGTTATAATACATAATATATGGTATTTTACCGTTGAGAGGGGAATTTAGACGACTTATTTGTTTGACGATTTTTACTGAATTGAAAGGTTTACACTTTTCACGTTAATCACTACTAAAATGTGTATTTATTGTATCTAATAGGTACAATTTATATTTACACAGATTGTATGCAATTTATTTTTTCATTCAGATTAACACTGTTTATTGGAAAACCGGTAAAAACTCAACCCAGGATTTCCTCTCGAAATACACCCAACAACACAACAAATCGAGCCACGGTTTTTTTCGATATTTTTAAACATTTTTCGGCTTTATTCTCCACTTTTGTTACGATGATAACAGCCGAGTGGTGGCACTAAAGGCAATACTTCTTTAGCGTATACTTTAAATTAAAGTATCATTTAGAATTAAAACAACATGAAAAGTAAATATTAATAAATTGTTAATTTGTTGTTATTACGGCCAAATTAAGGTTTAAAACTGTCATATTTTTGTGTTTCTTGAGTTGGCACCATGAATTTGTTTTGTTGAGATTTTCATAAAAATTTCACTGTAGTAATCACAGATGATTTCTTTTGTTAGGCTCATCCACCTATACACCCTATAAAGTACACAAACACCTTAACCGGCAACGAGCAAAAACTGTACGAATTCGTTGTGCGGCATTTTCTGGCGTGCGTTCACAAGGACGCGCAGGGTTTCGAAACCGCCGTTAACGTGGACATTGCCGACGAGAAATTTACCGCCAAAGGTCTCATAATTTTGGAGAAAAACTACTTGGACGTGTACATTTACGAGAAATGGAACGGAAAAGAGATAAACAATTACACTGAAGGAGATACTTTTATGCCTACACTGTTGGACATGGTATGTTTGCTTAATTAAATTAAATTTGAAGACTATGGCACGCCATTTCACTATTTAATCGTAAATGTTTTAAATGTAAGAGAAAATTGAAGTAGGTTTTTTTAAATTATGGAATATATAATTTTTAATAATTCTAATTATGCCTGACAATAATAATTAAATAAAATTATGGCAAGCATAAATTTAATTCAAATTTAATGGAATTTTATTGGATTATTTTTAAAGTTGCAATTTCTTATTTATAACACGACAATCATTTTTATTTTACAATTAAAATTATGACAACATAAAAAATTATAGAATTAATTTGGCGCTTTGGAAATGCGGCAGGAAGTGGCAACTGCAGTAGTTCAAATGCATACTAAGTATTTATGCGTAATTCCTTGGTGGCTTCTAACCATTGGCTAGATCGCAATCCACACTGAATTGTGAGCTTAATTATCTATATAATTATAGAAATTATTTCTATGTAGGTATATAATTCACAAAACTAAAATATATCATATAATTAACACATAATGTGTATTCTGTGTAATTAATATGATGTAGATAAATTAAACATACCTACTATTTGAACTACTGCAGTTGCCACTTTCGGCCACACTTTCGCAGCGCCAAATTAATATTACATGTAGACATACAATTAATTATATAATTTTACGCCGTTTTACTTTTTAATTGTATAAGAAGAAATATTAAGTTACATATTAATTTCAAATATCGCATCAGAAAAATTATATTAAATAAATAATTCAACATCTTAAATAAACATATTTAAAAAAATAATAACTCCTTTGACATGGATAATTCTAATTGAGGGCCCTAGAAGCCAAGGGGTATACGTACATTTTGTTTAGTTTTGAGATAATCATGTTTAAACTTTAAGGTAAAAAAATACACTTGTAATTTGTAGTCAAAATTGTTAGTTGTTGACTTTGTTTTTCAAGATGTCTAAGCTTAGAATTCAGTTATATCCCTGTAAATGTACCATTTTCTATCTTTTTTGTACATTTTTTTGAAGGTATTATTTTCCAGTGCAATTTATTTTTTAAGTATTAATATTTAACTTAATATTTCTTATCTGATTAAAAAGTGAAACGGCGTGCCATAGAAGACAGTTTAGGACAGTGTTGTGACAGTTTTATGGAGACCCTTTTACATAGGTCGAAAGCACGACGGGGCCGCCAAAACTGCTCACCGAAGCGGATCTGATCGCTCTAATGGAAAAACACGGCATCGGAACGGACGCGACGCACGCGGAACACATCGACACCATAAAACAAAGGGAGTACGTGGGGTTGCACGAGAACGTCTACTTCGTGCCGGGCACGTTGGGGATGGGCCTGGTGGAAGGGTACAACAACATAGGTCTGGAGGTGTCGCTGGCCAAGCCGAACCTGCGCGCGGACTTCGAAAACGACTTGAAGCTGATCTGCGAGGGCAGGAAAAACGCCGAAGTAGTCAGGGCCGATCAGATACAGAAGTACAAGGCCGTTTTCGAAACGGTGGCGGAAAAAAATGCGGCTGATAGACGACAGCTTGGCGACGCGGTTGGACGATCGGCCGCAGACAGTGCCCGAACAGGATTTAACAGGTCGCGACGAGCACGGACCGGTTTTGAAGTGCCCCAAGTGCGGGAACGACATGATCCTCAGGAGCAAAAAAACGGGCGGCGGGAAGTTCATGGCGTGCACCGGATATCCGGCGTGCAAAAACGTCGTGTGGTTTCCCGCCTGCGTGGAAAACGCCCAAGTAACCGACGAAGCTTGTCAGCAGGTTTGCATTAATCAAAACAAAATGGCGGTTTGATAGTGATAATTGTTGTGCTTTTAGTGCGGTCCGGGCGTGAAAAAAGTCAAATTTAACTTCAAGCCGAATCCGTTCCCGGGCGATCCGAATCCGAACACGATTTGCATCGCCGGATGCGATTTTATCGTCTGTCAAACTTTGGATATTAACATCAGTAATGTTAGAAGAGGTAGGTAGTATTATTAATCATGGTACAATAAAACAAGGTATGTTCTTCAGTAGGTTCACTTTGCGCACCACCCAGTTTTTATCCATTCTGCCGTGCTTAATGAAAACGCCGTAACCAACAATTTTGCGATTTTTGTTTTACGGCATTTTCTACTAGAACAATTCATCCTGCGTCTATACTCGGTACTCAAAAAACCGTATCTATATATATACGGTTTTTTGAGTACCGGGGATAGACGCAGGATGAATTGTTCTAGTAGAAAATACCGTAAACCAAAAATCGCAAAATTGTTGGTTACGGCGTTTTCATTAAGCACGGCAGCATTCCATCCAAATTTCCATAAAATTATTCGATTTTTAGATTAAATTGTCCAATAATTTGAAGATCACGCGTAAAAAAACGTCAAAATAGGTATTTACATTTCAAGAAAATATTATTAATAAAGAAAAACTATTTTGTATGCTTTTTCAATCAAATAAAATAAATGAAAAAAGTGCGAAGAAAAATTAAAATAACTAATATTCTGTTTTAAAGCAAATATAAAAAATAAAAAGTCTCAAGTTACAACATTAACATTGCAAGAAAAATGTAAACAACATATTTTTTCTAAATTTATTAATTACAAAATTGTATTTACAAATAATTGCAATTTAGGTTTAGATGCCAAATGAAAACCCTAAATTGGCCACCATGGAGCCAACATTGAATAAAACAAACTAAACTTGAGAAAAATATTATATTATGATATGGCATAAGCTGGCCCATTTCTGTTATGGACTGTCCTTGATCATCTTGGCACATTTCCTGCACAGAGCAAAAAGAAAGATTTAATTTTGTTTTTTAAATTTTATTTTAATTTCTTACACTGCAGTCCTTGAGTTTCTGTTACAGGCTGTCTTTAAAGATCATATGCTTTCTGGTGTTGTGCTATTTCCTGTACACTGTAAAAAGAACTATGATTTATATTGTTTTTTTAATTTTATTTTAATTTCTTACAAAGTATTTGATTTCTCTTTTGATAAATCAGCTGTTAAGTGTAAGGTTGGAACCATATCCACTCTTAAAGACTTTTTTTATGGGAATGTTGTTTTTCAATCCAATTTTCCTTCTTATAGCAAATATCTTTGAAGTAAATCTACTCAAGCCGTCTAAGGAAATGTATTTGATTTCCAGGTTTTTTTCTTTTTACAGATTTTCACTTGGCAGGTACAAAACTTTAACCTTGTTTTCTTGTATCATGGTATTAATTTTAATTTAAAAATCGCTTTATTACTTATACCTATGTGATTTTTAGAAAATCAACAAAATAACACGCGATTAAATAACACAACGACAACAGCACGAACCCCAAGCAACTTAAACAGTTGGTTGAACAATTCGACGGCAGGTGGCAGTGGCAGAGCAAACGGCAACAATTCCAACGCCACCGTGACCTCGAACTCGTATCAAGGGCAAAGCAACGGTTGGGCATCCACAAGCCGCCAATCCTCGGAAACAACGACGAATCGCCCGCCCCCTGCGACGCACCCCTCGGACATCGTGTGCAACTGCAACCTGCAAGCTCTGCTTTTGACCGTGAGAAAAGACGGCCCGAACCAGGGCAGGCAGTTCTACAAGTGTCCCAACGGGGCGTGCAGCTTTTTCCTGTGGTTCGGGGACGACGGCGGCGACGGTCCTTCGTCCGCGAACGAGCCAACGATGCCAAAGTGCAACTGTCACCTGCCGGCGCAGCAAAAAACGGTGCAAAAAGAGGGCCCCAACAAGGGAAGGCAGTTTTACGGCTGCTCCAAGCCCATGGGGCAGGGCTGCAACTTCTTCAAGTGGTGCGACGAGGTGAGTTTCTTTAAAGATGCATTTTTTAAGTCTCCACTCAACAGTAAAATACCAAGAACCGGTTATGTAATTAATGGCGTAATGCGTGTAAAGATAAAGAAAAAATATGCATTGGAAGTTTTTTATATTTTTTGTGATACGCCACTGGTTACACACTTGTGTTCTGTGAATACATAGATACAAACCAACAAAGTAGCTGCGCGTTGTCAGTTGTAAAAAATTAATTATTATTAAAATTATGATATTTTGGATTTTATAATAGCATGTTTATAACAGCAAGAATTGGCAACGTTGTATTTTGACCACCATAGTCAAAAGATTTTTATTATAGACATATTAATATGTACCTAGATGGTTTTAATAATTAACCATTTTGTTTGTTTTCTGTAATATACCAATTTTTTGCCATTGTTTTTTTTCATTGTCTACGAGATTTTCAGTGGCTTTTACATAATATGAATATTATAAAATTTGATATAACCTAAACTTAATTTAGTTTACAATTCGTATCATACATGGACATATTAATATGTCTATGGTATTATATATTTTAAATCCCCCACTTATAAACTGTCTATGCGCATAAGGTAGATAATACGCCAAATCGACAAATTTCCCCTCAAAAAAGTAAAAACAAGGTGATCCATACAAAATAATTCCATAAAAAAATAAGTTGATAAAAAAATAATTCGATAAAAAATTAATTTTTATCGGTTTTTTTCTTTCTGTTTACTGAGATGAAATTAGGACAAGTTCACAGGTTAAACTTTAAACATTCAATTTGTATAAATAAATTCAAAAGCCACAATTTACAATTTAAACACATAACCTGAAATTTGAAAGAAATGCACCAGATTCTGTCATAAAAGTTGACAGGTTTTGTTTGAATTTCTAACAATTTCATTACAAAAATGACATATCAACAATTAAAAAAACGCCAAATTAACAATTTGCGTTGTTGATTTTGTGATTTTTGTAATTAAGCTAAATTTAAACAAAATCTGGCAACTTAAGTTTATTGACAGAATCTGGAAACGCTGGTTGCTACCAACCGTAACATAATAAATTAAATTAGGCAACCAGATTAGCCTAAAGTTCCTAGTCGATCAGTGGCGTACTTTTTGGTAGGATAAAGGTTATTATAAATTATTTTTAGTCTTTAGCATTTAGAAAAAAAGTTTCAGGTGCTTCTTTATGAACCCTAAGGAACTACCCATTTTAATATATTACATAATTATCCTGTATCTTAATTATATTTTTTTCTGTGTATAATCTGCCCCTTTTTAGGATGACAATGGAGGTGGCGGAGGAGGTGGCGACGATTGGGGTGGGGGGTGGCGGCGGCGGCGGAGGGTGGCGGGGAAAAACCTCGTCTAGGGGCGGTAGAGGGAGGGGGGGCAGTAGCGGTAGCAAACGTGCTGCCCCCTACGGAGGGGCGCCGAAAGCGAAACGAAAATGCAGTTCGTGCGGGAATGAGGGCCACACCAAGAACAAATGTCCAAACAGTTGATTATTATTATTTTATTAAATTTATTAATAAATATTTATTTTTTAACAAATCATTTTTGTCTTACTAATTTTTTCAGCTTTTCAATCTCTCGTTCCTGTATGTGGCTTTCTGCAGTTGTTTGTGTGAGCATGTTTAAAATCATTTCATATTTTACCCGAAGTAAGTTGTTTTCTTCCGACAGTTCTTGCATTTGTTTCCTTAATTTTTGGTTTGTCTTATAGTTCAATCCATTCTCACCACTTTCTAGAAAGAACATTTTTTTGATTTAAAGTTCTTAAAACAGAAAAAGTTTTTTTACCGGGATACCATTCTCCATTTTCAAACACAAGTTTATTATTGTCCAAATTTAATTTGACGCTTCTACGATCCAAAACCAACTCGTCCAAATTTTCAGTTGAAATCGCATTATTGCCTTTTCTTATCGGCGCTTTTTTTGGTGAAAACTTACTCCCAAAAAGGGGCATTGTTTATATTGTGACAATACAAACAATAATTATTTTTAAAATGTATCTAATATATGCAACCCGTATGACTCCTGTGATATGACAGTTGCGTACCTTATGAAAAAATCTGGTGACATTTGGTTTTAAACAGTTGTCAAAGTGGATACAATGTCATGAACTGTCAAATGAACGTGCCGAAAATTTAATAAAAACATGGGTATTTTGGAGAAAATATCGGAGATCGAGAAGGAAATCGCAAGAACGCAGAAAAATAAAGGTGATTTGAAGGAATTTAAAGGATTTTTATAATTGTTTAATTAATTTTGCAGCCACTGAATACCATTTGGGGTTATTAAAGGCTAAATTAGCAAAATACAGGTCGCAGTTGTTGGAGCCTTCGAAAAAAGCCGGCGAAAAGGGAGAAGGATTCGATGTGCTGAAAAGTGGGGATGCCAGGGTGGCTCTAATAGGTTTTCCATCCGTAGGAAAGGTCAGTCTTTTCTTTCTGTTTGACTAACCAATAAATAATGCCTGCCGAAAAAATATAAATTCTGTTTGCTTTAGGGTAGCAGACAACTTTTATGAGGTAATTTGAGTACACTAAAATTTAAAAAGACCATAATTTTGTTCAATCTGTTCTTGTTTTTGCTATATTGCAAAAAAGCCTTTTTTTCAATACACATTTTAATTTGTTTTGAACAAAAATGGTTATAGCCAAAAATCTGACAAAAATTGTTCATGTAAATGAAAATTGCTGAATTTTGGCTAAAAAACGATTTAATTTCATTAAAAAGGCAAAAACGTTAGGAATGTGTGTATACCTACATTTTTTAATTTTATTTGGGAGGATCCTAGGATCCTTGAATATACAGTATGTATTGGGATGTGGTTTTATAGAGAAAAATAGTAAATTTCTCAAAAAAATTGTATTCTTGTAAAATAATTTTTGTCTTGGATGGGGTATCTGTGGACATACTGTATAAATATGATATACAAATTATATTATACAAATTTGAAGGTTTGCATATTGAAAAAGACGGTTTTTTATAATATCGCGAAAACAAGAGCTGATTGAGAAAAATTATAGTTTTTTTGAAATCAGTGCAGCCAAATTGCCTTAGAAAAGTTCATCCTGCAGCAAAATGTCTGTTGACCAGTGTAGGGATGGTAAAAATCCAGGGTTCGACCGATATATATATAACCGATAAATATCATGATATTTATAAAACTGTTACAATTAAATATTTAACATAATAATAATAACATTTTAAAAAAGTATATACCCTAGTAGCAATGGAATTGGACAAGATTCTTTGTCAAGATACTTGGAGAAGCACTTTGTAAAGAATTGGACAATTCTTGACCAAGACTCTTGATCAAAATTCTTTATCCAGACTGGTGGCAGACTTGGACAAGTCTGTGACCAGAATTTGACCAGATTCTTGGCCAAGAATTTTTACACGATTACAAGTTAAATAGGAACTTTCAATTCAAGATTTTTGGTCAATACAAAATTTTGTTGAACTTCAAAAGTTAAGAATGTTACTAAAAACATTAATTTTCCACGATTTCTTTCTAGTAAATTCGGTTTTTATCCATAAATCTGGTAAACAATAGTAAATTTGTTTAATTCGTTCGTTTGTCTAAAAGACGACCGTATTGTCACAATTCTCAATCTATGGTATATACCTGATAAAAATAATAAAATGCCAAAGAAAAAGTTATGATGATGAAATTAAAACTTATTGGATAATTTTTTTTTTTTGTTAATAATTTTTTTTTGTTTTATAAGTGTTTCGTTTACTTTTTTAAATAAATTTATTAAAATTTTATTCTGGCTAATATAATTAATTTGTAAATATCATGATATTTTCGAACCCTGTAAAAATCGGTAAGAAAAACTATTGAAAATTTCTCCCACCCTTAGAGTCTAAAGCTTAATTTTCATGTATACGTTTGTCCGATCATCCGGGAGCGCTCTTATTGGTCCAATTATAATTCGGAAATTATGATATTTCATCGGTCCGTCAAGTTTCAACTTTCAACACATTTGTTTTTGACGCCTAACGTTATTTTAAGATAATTTATATTCAAATATTTTAATATTTTTTTAATTATGAAACCGAGTAATTACGTTCGTTCTGTGAATAAAGTTCTACGTTCGTTCTGTGAATAAAGTTCTACTGTTATGTCTTTAGAACGGAAAAAAATAAAAGACGAACAAACAATTTTTAAAACCAGAACTAAAAGGACTTGCTGTTTCAAAACTATACATTTTAATGTATATTAAGGCTTGTATACTCTTTTTCTATGGTATAGGCATTAGGTAAATTTAGTGAAGTTAATATACTGGTTTTAAATTTCTATTTGTCGCCAAATCAATCCGTTAAACGTCATTAAAAAACGGATCCCTGAAAATTTAGCTTAAGGCGGGAAATTTAAACTTACACTTGACATAAAAATACCAAGCGTTCTACTAGTTCGGTGTTGAGTCGGGAACGCTTTTCATAGATCGATAACTATCGATAGTTTTCCCATCCCTGGTCATCAAGACAAATTTAGAAGTAGTACGCTTTCCTGATACAGTATTATTATATATTTATTTAGTCCACATTGCTGTCAACTCTAACAAAAACGGAAAGTGAAGCGGCCTCGTACGAGTTCACCACCCTAACGTGCATCCCGGGCGTGATAGATTACAATGGGGCCAACATACAACTGCTCGATTTGCCCGGTATTATAGAGGGCGCTGCCCAAGGCAAGGGCAGAGGAAGACAAGTGATCGCGGTGGCCCGCACAGCCGACTTGGTCCTGATGATGTTGGACGCGACTAAAAAAGACGTCCATCGAGACTTGCTCGAGAAAGAGTTGGAGAGCGTGGGGATAAGGTTGAACAAAAAGAAACCCAACATCTATTTCAAAGTGAAAAAGGGCGGCGGTCTCTCTTTCAACTCCACCTGTCAGTTGACGAAAATCGACGAGAAATTGGTGCAGATGATTCTGCACGAGTACAAAATTTTCAACGCGGAAGTCTTGTTCAGGGAAGACTGCACAGCCGACGAGTTGATCGACGTTATTTGCGCCAACAGAGTCTATTTGCCCTGCCTCTACGTCTACAACAAGATCGATCAGATTTCCATGGAAGAGGTGGACCGGATCGCCAGGCAGCCCAACAGCGTCGTAGTCAGCTGCAACATGAAGCTGAACCTGGACTACCTGTTGAGCACGCTGTGGGAGTATCTGAGTCTGATCAGGGTGTACACCAAGAAGCCCGGTCAACCGCCGGATTTCTCGGACGGCTTGATTCTGAGGAGAGGCGTTACGGTCGAGCACGTCTGTCACGCCATCCACAGGACTTTGGCGGAGCACTTTAAATACGCTCTCGTCTGGGGCACCAGCACCAAGTACTCCCCGCAAAGGGTCGGAGCCTCGCATTCTATGGCAGACGAGGATGTCATTCAGGTCATCAAGAAGTAATCCGTTTCGTTAATATTATTATGGTTTTGCAGGACAGGGCGTTTCGAAAATTACACGACACTTTGTAGAGGTGTACTTACTTCACTGTGTGCTGTAATTTTTGGGTCGCCCGGTGTTATGTTTAATGTGTGACACCAAGTAAAATATTTATATTTTATATTGTCATTAATATTATTAAAAATAATAATATTCTCTCATTAAATAAAGAGTATAATACTTTATTTTGTTGTCTTTACTTAAAATACGCATAATATCCCTTTATCTCTAAAAACAATATTTAATAATTTGGCTTTGGTGGTGAGTAGATGAGTAAAATCATATAAAAATTAGCTAAATATAGGTGACCACGGCCCAGAAGAGACAAAGTATTCCTAGCGGATAATAATCTTCGCTTTGAAAAGAGTTTATGTAAAAGAAATTAAAATTTTATATGAACACACGTGTATGTTGTCCAATCATAAGGCGATGTACTTTTTCTGCCATTGAGGCATTTGGCATTTCATCAAAATAAACTTTTACTTTAGAATCTGATATCATTTTTAACATAGTTATCTTTTTATATTGATATTATATAATAATTATCAAGGAAATTATCAATAATAAATATTACTGTCAATTTGACATTAAGGTACCATTTTGTAAATACTAAAAAACTAAATCAAACTGGCATAAGCTACCAACTTAATAAAAAAACACGAGTCCAAATAAAAAAATATAAACTGTATAAGAAAAAAAATTATTAAAAAAATGGCACCAATGCAAAAACTTTCTTATTTTGGCGTGTTTTATCCCCTTAAAGGATGACAACTTATTTGGTGACACCCTGTATATCATATATGATTTATTATTGCTAACCGCGTCACATGCTCTGCAATAAAGGACGATTTAATTTCACACATGGAAAACGTCACTTGATTGTGATTGGCCCCAATCAGATTGTGCATTGCACACTGCTGTATAGTATGAACAGGATGGGATTACAAAGAATTTTTTTGTTACAAATTTACCATTTTTCAAAAGTTTTTTTATTTTAAATTAAAATTTGAAATCCCCCATATGTCACCTACGATGTTTTTAATTTGTCACTTGCGAAGTTATTGGTACGTGGTTTTGACTAGAAATTTAATTGTGATTTGAACTATAGTCGAAATCTAAGTTCACCAAATAAAATTTTGCATTTTAAAGAACAGGATATGAAAGAAAATACACAAAAACCTTTTTTATTTTTTTATTTTTATATCATCATTGAAGTACATTTCATTGCAATTGATGAATTTAAAACTGATAACTTAAAAATAATAATCATAATCTACATTAATAATTAAACTAGACCTCTAATCGGAAACAAACATCACTTTGCTTAATAATTATTATGCAATAGTATAGAATAGAGAATAAGTAGTAGAAGAGAATGTGTTGGTAATAGAAATCTAACATTTATTTTTCATAATAGTAGTATATATAGGACACTGTTAATCTTAATATTTTACATTTATTTTTTGTTAATTAATCCACACATAATAGGCATATTGATTAACGTTATTATTATTATTATTAAATACATTACATTAGGGAACAATTGGCTATATGTACACCCATGGACAATAGCTTTGCAGTTATTACAAAACTATTGTCCACAACTGTAAGTACCTACAATAATTCTAAACACCTAGCAATATAGTTGGATGAGTGCTGTTGCTTTTATGTAATTTGAATAAATATACCATTCATTGTTAATTAATACAACTAATTAACAAATATACCAAGAGTAAAACCGTGGACAATTTTTACATTTTTTTAATGAATGTATCTCAAAGTGTGTGAACATAAGAAACTTAGTCAAGTCAGTAACATAATTAGTGCAATCTGAGATACAAAGAAAAAATGTAAAAAGTTGCGAAAGAAGTGAGTGGACGACGGAAAAATTACTCTTTGTGCGCTGTAACAGCAGCAGCTGAAGCGACTTCCGTTTCAACGACAACCCGAGTGGTTGCCGAATCGGCAGGCGCTGCTGGGGCGGCGTTGCCTTCGACGTCGTCAGAGGGCGCCTCGACCGGCGCAGCGTTGCCGTCCACTCGATCGGAAGTCGTAGCGAAAATACCGACGCGTACCGAAGAATCGGGGGAGTCTTGCGGGGACAGGGAGAGATTGGAGGGGTACGGTGGGGGTTGGTCGTCCATGATGTCCTGATAAGAAGGCGGGGGGGTTTGTTTTAAAGCCCCGAAAGCCGAAGCGCTCTCTTGATCTCTAAACAACGAGGGGTAATCTGTCGGTTCGGTGCGGTCAGAGCCTTCCCCTGGCAGAATGTAGTGTATGGCGTGGTGCCTAGTTTGCTGCTTGAGAGCCAAGTACTTGTAGCAACGCCATACGATGCCGATGCAGTACGCCTTCCACATCATCGAGAACAGAAAGGCCGCCAGCACGAGCAGACTTAGGTACTGCGGACTCAACTGCAGCAACTCGTTGCGGAACGGCAGGTTGTGCCAGTGTTCGGCCACCAAGCGGTGTACCGAACGCAGGTAGCAAAAATATCCGGTTGCCGTCAAGCTAGAAAGAAAAACCGAAAACATTTCATGCGATTCCAAGTTAAGGGGCTACAGGCTGGAAATATATTATCAAGACAAAAAACTCACGTCGTTATGGCGAAATCGAACAGTTGAAGGCAGAAAAACGGCAACAGATGCGTTGCCTTTCCTTTTATGGCACCATAGACCATCAACAAGGAGATAGAGAGGGTGAAAACCGTCATAAGCGCACCCATGTCGATGTCAGCTGCTATTTTAAAATGAATTTAGAAAAACAAACAAAAATACTTTTTAAGAATGATTTTCTTGTTTTCATGTGACGTCACGTGCGAAACAGATTCTATGCTATGCACGGGTGTTTTACCTACTACGATTTCTTTTGAGTTTTTCCGAAATTATTGTGTTTTTAAAAATATAAGCCACGCACGGGTGTTTTATACCAGGTTATTCATTAAGTTTGTGTTATATTTGTTGGACTTAATAACTATTTAAAATATGCCGGAGTGTGACAGCAGAAATATGAACAGAAACTCCAACACCCAACCTAACCTAACATTAAATATTTTCGATTTCCAAAAAATAAAAAACTGGCAGCACAGTGGATGAATGCATGCAAGAGAAATGATAAAATAAAAATAAAAAACGGTAAGTAAAGTCATACCCAATTTTCTCTTAGGTACTTATAGTAACTTTTCACCCTAACCACATATTTTTTTACCGCTTGCAAGTTCTTACTACTGATAAAAATTAAAACACTATTGTATCGGAAACCCGCTTCAAAAGCGTCACAAGTAAAAAAGGCGGTTTTGAGATTATTTTTTTTACTTTTGACACTTAAAGCGGGCGTGCGTTATTATAATAATAATAATATATTACCTGTATAAATGCATTTTTATAATTTTGTTACCTTTCACATTAAAAAAATGTCAAATTCGGTCTAGCGTAAGTCAAGTTAATTCGAGTAAATAAAAAATATTTTGTAAAATAATAATAGGAAGGTAAGAAATTAGTGGTTGCTTAAAGTATGTTACATTAGTATTAAAAGCGCTTGCTGCCAATTTAACTTTCTCTTAACATTTGTATATTTCTATATTTATAAATTTTCGAATATAACGTGAATTTGCAGTTACCTGCCAGCTTTTGGTTCGCACATGACGTCACACGGCGCAATGCGTTAAAATTTTAACACAATTAAGTACATAAATAGAGGAAGATACAAATTTTGTAAATTCCATTAAAATCGGACCAAAATTATTCGCGTTTTGGCCAAAAAACGATTTTTTTTCGTAATTTGGAATTTTTAAATAGTTACTTACATGAATAAATTGTCCTGCCATCTTGAGTTGTAGGCAAATAATACGGGTTGTTTTCCTCCTTAACTTTGCTCAACGGAGTGGGCAAAAAGTCCGATTGAGAAAACTCATTGTGCTTTTGCACCATGATGTGATGATTTCTCATCAACAGTGCCAGCACTGTCAAGGCCAACACATGAAGTATCTAAAATATTGTCAAATATTTCGGTTTTTTTTTCAAACACCCCATATATTAACTTACCAAATGCCATATTCCCAAGAATATTGTGGCAGTTCTGACATGGAGGCAGAAACAACATCTCCACTCGTTTTGACGAGCTGTTATTTTAATCCTCATTGGAAACATCTAAACAAGGCAATTTTAATTCTCTTAAAATAAAGACTAACCTCGACACTATGCAGTTTTGTTATTTTTTACCCAATTTAAAGAATAATTTTATCAAATGTTGGGTAGTTTCATCCACTTTGAAAAAATGAATACCCACTCTAACTTTTACAGTTTAGTTTTTTTTGCCCCGTTTCAAAAATAATTGGGTAAACTTTTTTTACTATAGGGACCCTACTTACAATATAAAAAAGAAAATCAAAACATGATAAAAAATATCAAGTTATTACCACATATGTTAAAAACTCAATTAGATATATAAAAAATTAAGTTATTATAACATTTCAAATCACTAATAAATAAATTTAAACAAATCTACAAAATGATTACATGTGTATATTCAAAACAAATTTAATGAGAATGCGTCACACTAAAATAAAAAGTGATAACAAACATATTTAATTCCATTTGATCAATCAAAATGAAATTATGCATGTACCAGCACTATTGCATTTTAATCTATGTAATTTAAAGTGACCATGTTAGATTTAAAACACACAGAAAAACCTTTAAAACAATTAAAACGATAAAAATCGTTAATAGGAATAAATCCAAAATAAGAAAAGCCTTTGAAAGGTCAGAAATATGTTTTCACCACTTCGACCAAAAACCCAACGAATACCTAATGGAATATAAACAAACTCACCTTATCCACACAAAACACACAAATTACTGCCTTATCAGCTTCATATGCACGGGAAAACGGAAAAAATAATATTTATATTATTTCGCAACTGACAATACGGCTGTCAAAATTAACATTGGTAATTATTCGCTGCCAACCTTAGAAAACAAAAATAAAAAGTGGCGCCTCTAACGGGGTAACGGTAAACTGATTGTAGGTATGCAAACTAATCACATAAATTATATAATGGGTTGCCTATATAACAAATGACGTTTATGAGTCATTTTAGGTTATGTTTCGTGAATAAACGTCAACAATCCTACAAAAAACGCTAAAAACGCTATAGGATGTTTAATTTTTGGTCCAAACCCGATCCTAAAGGTAAATAATTACATTTGTTACAAGTGTAAGGGGTTGTCATTACATTTTAATAATTTGTAGAGGAACAGAGGCAAGTTGATAGAAATTTGAGAAAAGTTGGTAGAGATATCGAACGTGATAGACGCGAGTTGGAAAGGGAGGAGAAGAAGTTGGAGTTGGAAATTAAAAAGGCTGCTAAAGAGGGTAACACTGAAGGATGTCGCCTATTAGCCAAACAATTAATACAACTACGCAAGCAGAAAAACCGTACTTTCCAGGCCGGCAGCAAGGTTCAGGGCATTGCATTTCAAAACAAAGCCATGGGGGCTAACGTGAAGCTAGCCGACGCTATGGGGGTGGCAGGGAAAACCATGTCGGACATGAATAAGCTTATGAAACCTGAGCAGCTAGCTGCAACTGTGAATGCTTTTACCAAGGAGAATATGAAGATGGAGATGACAGACGAGATGATCAACGATACCTTGGATGATATGTTGACTGAATCTGGGGATGAGGAGGAAAGCGACAACATTGTCAGTCAAGTCTTGGACGAGATTGGCATTGAAATCAGCGGAAAGGTAATAAATCCCATTTAATATTTTAATAAGTAAGCTTTTGGCGTTTTTTTAATATTTATTGGCAATTTTTTAAGTGTTGATATTCCTAAAAAGTACTTTTAAAAAGTATTTTGACATTCTTAAATTTTGACATTTCAGAATTTTTTTGACATTTTTAAATGTTTTAAGAATTTTAATTTTAATTAATTTTTTAAGACAAAATCTAAATTATTTTCTTATTTTTATAGATGTCTGGTACTAAAAAGTACTTTTAAAAAGGATTTTGACATTCTTAAATTTTGACATTTCAGAATTTCCTTTTGACATTTTTAAATATGTTTTAAGAATTTTAATTCTTTTAATTATTTTTTTAAGACGTCTAAATTATTTTCTTATTTTTATAGATGTCTGGTGTTCGTGTCCCAACCAATAAAATTGGAGAATCCTCAAAGTCAAATCAATTAACTGATGATGAAATTGAAGCCCAATTGGCAAAATTAAAAGCCTGATTATTAAAAACACTATTATTATACTCCACAGCTTTATACAACAACATTGTTATATTTTTATAGGTTAGAAAGAAATAAATGAAACTGTTGATTTGTAATTTTATTTACAACTAATTGCAGGTAAAGACATGAAATTTATCACTTTTATTAATAATGTTGTAATAGTAGCAGTCTGTTGGAGTAAAACCTCGCATTTCCCTTTTATTGGCGCTAAAAATAAAAAAACAATCAGGTATGCCAACCACCCAAAAATAAACGTACCTTTTATTAACTTTTGTTGGCCCCCGGATTTGCGTCCACTTCGAAACTTTATGTTCATTAAAAATCATCAAACCCATGACGGAAACCCACAGGGCAAAAATTAGTGCCTCATGTCTGTCCTGCCATTTTTCCAAAAATATCTGCGACACGCTCAAAATGTCGGCCGCTTTAGCCGCATCGTTTACATCGCCGAAATATTGCGTGTAATTTTCGAACAAAAACGCGGTAAAATTTCCCGGTTGCGTGCTGAACTCATCGATTAATTTTTCAAAATCGCAGTCTATTTTCAATACACCATCCTCTTCGACTTTTTTCGGATTTAAAACCCTCCCCAAGCCGTGAAACAACCCCAAAGTTTCATCTTTAATCATATATTTCACTCTTTTCTCACTTTTAACCCCCCTCTTACGCTTCCCCTTTTTATTATTGCTGGTTTCCATGGGAATGTCATAGCAACCATTCAAACTGGCCATGTGCAATTGGTTCATGGCACTCCTGATGTCCCCCTGACAGGACGCCAAAATCGCTTCAACCGTTTCAGGGGAAACTACTTTGAAGCACTCTGGATTCTTCTGTATAACTTCCATCGCCTTCTTGATGCAAGTTTTTAATATTGTTGTGGCACAAGTGTTAAATCTATGATTAACTTATTATGATTTTTGTTAAATTAACAGAATAACTTACTGAATATGTGGTATTTGATATTTAACCATGATTTCTTGCGGAAATAAATTATTTGTTAAGTTTGTGTTGTTGCTGCAACCATCAGTACAAATAAAAACAATGGGGCATCTAGCTTGATAGTAGCACTCTCTAAAAAAACATATTAACTTTTTTCTGGTATTTAAAGGCACAAAACTTACTCTAAAACCCTAAAAAACTCATCTGTATTCCTTAGGACAGCATTGGGAAAATCTTTCACAATAGCAATTTTTTTTTGGTTTGGCTCATCAAATAGAGAGACGTATTTTGTTTCAGTGAGAAATTCTATGAATCTGGTAACTTGGTTTGGTCCTCTTGTAAGTTCAAAATCTTGATCAATAGGATTCACCCATTCTGACACTGTTATATTCATTGACTTACATAATACGTTCAGTGTGGCTGTTTTTCCACAGCCTGTGGGGCCTGACAATAATAAAAACCAAGCATTTGACTGAAAAAAACCCAAATTAAATCTAGATTTAGGTACAAAAATATAAAATAAATAAATACTTTTTGCTTGTTCCCTAAAACAACCATTTGTAACCATAGTTCCACTTCATTTATTTTCTTTGGGTGCACAGCCAACTCTTCCACCTTCTTTGGAGCCACAGCTTTATCAAAATTAAAATTTTTCTTCACTACAGACTCTCTGTCTACTACAATTTCATTGCAAGATTTCTCTTTCGGCAACGTTTTATGAAGCTTTTTAGGCGGCTGATCTTGTTTTTCTTGTTTGGGACCAAAGTCGAAGTTCTTCCACTACACAAATTAATTAAATTGTTTAAAAAAAATCAAACACAACTCACCCCTTTATTCATGATTCCATCAAAACAAACGCGGCTGATCCATTCAAATTTGACAGATGTCAGCGGTAGTTCAAATGTCTCACACCGATAGATGGCGCTGCAAATTTTCATGATTGACCATAGACATATTAGAATGGACACGTAATCAAAACGTTAAAATGTCAAAATTATAGTCTGCTTATTTTAAGACTTTACTGTAGGGTTTTTATTTTTTTCAAGTAAAAATTTATTAGTAATTATTTATTTAACTTCAAATATCTATTTTTAAGGATTTTATGAGCACTGGGGGATATATTTAAATAATGAAAGGACAAAAGTTTTAAAAATGGTAGGATAAATACGCACAGTGGGACAAATTTAAAAAATTGTAGGATTAATTTGCACAGTGGGATAAATTTTATAAATAGGACGAATTCGCACAGTGGGAAAAATTTAAAAAAAGATAGGACGAATTCGCACAGTGGGATAAACAAAATTAAAGGACAAATTCGCAGTGGGATAAATTTAAAAAATTGAAAGGACAAATTCGCACAGTGGGATAAATTTAAAAAAAGGTAGGACATATTGGCATAGTGGGATAAACTTAAAAAATAGGAGGAACATCGCACAGTGGGACAAATTTAAAAAATGGTGGGTTAAAAAATGGGAAGACAAATTCGCAGTGTGACAAATTTAAAAAATGGTAGGAAAAATTTGCACAGTGGGATAAATTTAAAAAATGGTAAAAATTTCAATTATTTTAAATTATGTATGGTAATAACTTGTTTAAAACTCCAGAAATTTAATCCACTACAAATATCCATTTTTAAGGATTTTATGAGCAAAGGCTGCGAATATGCCCATATATGTATGGTTTTTAGGAACTGGATTAACAGATACTGATTAAAATAACTATATTTATTTTCTTAAATCAATATTAAATATAGATTTTTACCTGGGAAAGTTTATTTCAGGCTCTTTGTTCTCGTCCTTTCGAATCCATAAAAAAGTTATTTAAACATTTTTTCATAATTGCTTATCTTCTATATTACTAAACATAATTAAACCAACATTATCTTTGAAAATATTTATTGTTTAATACATAATATATTATCTATAACACATAAGTATGGTATTCCAACATAATTACTAACTAAATATATAGGCACATGAAAATATATTACCTATATCCATATTTTATAAAATCTTACTTAAATAGCATATAACATAAATTCACTATTCATAGTTCAAGGCATCATATTGAGTTAACAAGAATGTGCAGGAATGATTGGTTATTTTTATACAATGAAATATTTAAAATATAACAACACTGACAGAAAAAAAACAAATAGATTTCCGTATAATCGTTAATATTAAGTGCATAACATAGTTGAAAATAGCTTATTGATCTTTTTTGTGTGTAGCTTGGTTATAGCTTGGTGGATTCTCCTAAGGAATAAATATTTATTGATTATTATAAATTAAAATTTTAAAATTAACTACATACGTAGTAAGCTGGCGGCGGCACATACGCCATCTGTGGTTTGCTAGGATCATAGTAGGCCGACTGGGCTGCCTCAGCCGCCTTAGAGTCTTGAAATAAAAAGGTTTCATAGGACACTTGTTTAAATGAGGAATTTTGAAGGAATAAGTGTTTTACCTATACCATGTTTGCGTATTATGGTCGTACATATAATATCCTATAAAATTGATTTTCTTCCAATTTTTTTATATCCACATTTAAACCGAAAATAAAACATATTTTAGAATATCAAAAACATATGTGTTTTAACATTTTTAAATGCATTTTAGACATTTACAATAAAATGTAAAAATATATTCCAAAATTTGTTTTTGTAAAAAAACAAATTTTATAATATATTTTTACCTAAATTTTATTCTAAATGTCTAAAATGCATTTTAAAATGTTAAAACACATTTTAAAAAGGCAGTATTCATGTTTATCCCATCTATTATTGCAAACACTTTTATTAACTTGACCAGTTTTCGCGTTAAATTAATTAACTTTTGTTTGTTAAATAGAAACTTACCAGCAGGTGCCGTAAACCCTTGCGGATAGCCCTGCGTCTGCGGATAGCCGGGCTGCGGTTGATTCTGATAGCCCTGCGGGCCGACAAACGGCCCCCCGTTCTGGGGATACCCTTGCGGCGGGCCCTGCTGACCGGGCGGCGGCGGCAAGCCGGAGTAGCTGCCCCCGGGATAGCCCTGCGCTGCCGGGTACCCCCCTTGCGGCGGGTACCCCTGCTGCTGGGGCGGGTACCCCTGCGGCGGCATCTGCCCCCCCTGGTAGCCCTGCGGCGGCAGCCCGGGGTACGGGGGCGGCGCGTCCGTCATGAAAACGCCGTTCTGAGGCGGCTGATCGGGGAACGTCTGGTAGGGCGGCGTCCAGCCGTAGTAACCCTGCGGGGGCGGGGCGTAGGCGGGAGGCGGCGCCGCGTAGTACTGCGATTGGGGCGGCATGTACGGCGGGGGTGCTTCTCTGAAGCCGCCCCTTGCGACTTTACAAAGAGAAAAAGTTTCATTGATATTTTATTAATAAATACCCATCATTGTTTCAAAAACATTTTTTTAAATTAAAATCGAAAATAATTAATAAAATATGTGTTGATACTCGAGATAATGCGCATTTTATCTATTAATTTATTTTAACTACTCCTATTGCATAATATTAGATTTATAAACATAATCATTACAAATTCCCTGCCTAACGTGAATAATGAACTCATTAACCACGTTCAGTGATTGGCCGATTTCAATATTCACCGTGATTTAAACCAATCGGATTTTACATTGGGAAAAGGCGACTATGATTACATTTAAAATGGGTAAAAAGTGAGGTTAAACACTTGACAGATGTTAGATTTTATTTATTTATTTTTAAAAATCATTTAATTAACAACTATTAAACTTTATTTTGTGTTTGAACCCACAAGTTTTATTAGGATTATTTTATGCATAAAGTACAGTTGTAGGTACATCTTTTATTAGGTACTTAAATTTAATTTTTTAAGTGGGTGTCAGCAAATTTCTCATTCACTTGTAACTTTGTAATATTTTCATTTTACCTTTTTAATAAAAAGCACTTTTAATATATTATACAACATAGTTTTATTTAATAAAAAAAAACGTTTTAAAAATTATATTAGCAATTTTTAAGTTTGTTCTACAAACTACATTGTAATAAAAATACTTACTATCTCCAGAGATATCATCCCTTGTGGCTAAAAAGTTGCAAATCAATCAGTTTTCTCATTATAATTTAAAAATTAGTAAGGTTAAGCAAGGAAAATTATAAAAGTCAAAACAAAGAAATGATAATGAGTCAAATGATTTAACACAAACAAAAACAGTAAAAAAACAAGGAAATTACAACAATTGAAATCTTACCAAGATGAGCCACTTTCAGCATAGCCTGCCCAAACTCAATAGCACCTCCGTGTTTGAAAGTCAACTTGAATTTGGCTTCGCCAGTCCAATTTCCATTCGGCTGAGCCCTTACTTTTCCTTTAATGTAATTAGCCCCAAATATTGGTTGTTCAATTTCCACCTAAATAAATGCATACAGTAAACATTAAATGATTGCTTCAACTAACCTCGCTTAGTGTGATGAAAGGGAAACTAAATGACTGCATTTCATCGTTGGGGCTTTTGCTGTTAAAAACCAATCGATGCGTTGTCAAGTATATCCTACCACTTTTGGTCCCTTTAAAAGCACCCATATTCTGCCCCGACCACTCTATGGAAACATGCTCGGAAAACAGCAATATCCTAAAACCACCATTTAGCTGCATATTCTAGAATAACATTGATTTAACCACTCACTGTTCCCCTGCATGGATCAGCACGCCGCCGTTCAGGTGGGCCGTGTTTAACGACATTTTAGATGTAAAAATTACACGGAAATTTTTTGCGATGCAAAATTTGCAACTTTATTTTCTATATTGACTTTTTTGACAGGTATGACTAATGTTTAGTCATTTGACATTTCTAAGCGCCCTCCGTTGTATGCTAATCGAACTACGAAACATGCAACCCAGGGTACATGAAGTGTATTCTGGATTGCCTACAGTATAATCAATTTTTGATTGAATTTGGAATAAACAATTCGAACAATTTAATCGATTTTTGTTAAAACTACTTGGATTTATATAAAATATTACGCAATAATGCCCATGTTTAAACACTAAACAAACAAATAATAAGGTAAGTAGGTACGACAAGCTTGAAAACACCTTAAAGGGTGGTCTGCAAATTTCATGGTATTTTTTCACAATGTCTTTGCGGCGAAACGCCACCGACAAAGAGGGTTAAATAATTGAAAACCACATGGATCTTTTTCTTGAAATGATAGCTTTATTTATTTCCGACAAAAATTAAGGGTGTTTACCGTATGTTGCGAATTAAAGAACATTAGGTTTTTATGTTATTTTTTTAATAAATTATATAATCTTTTACAGTTTAGCGTGACAATGACATCCGTTTCGGCAACTATAGACCGCAAAAGGGTGTAGGTAATAAAAAATACCATGGAAATTGCCGACCACCCTTTAGGTGTTATTTTCTTTGACATTTTTATGTTCAACAATTTTTAATTTATAAATTTAATTAGTTAAACGTAGAGGTACATACAAAACATAAACAGATTACATAAAAATCAACTTTTACTAGGTATACATTGACAAGACAAACAGGGGTTCTTTATGGACCACCTTTGTTGAAGTATTTACTTTAAAGACACACAAAAAAGGTAAATACTGTAAATTAGCCTGAAATTTGCGGGCACACCTTTAGGGTGGTCTTTTGTGTCAAAATTTGTACAAAACAAGTAAACGAACACACTATCTGACTTCTCCCAAAGGTGGTCCAGTTATTAAGAAAAGACGCCCAGCATCCATTGAATTCGTTTATAATGGTATCGCTGCACGTTACTTTTGATTGGATTTTAATTTTTTTCTCTTTGTATCGCGACTTGTTACCGAATAATCGACTTCATACTGTTCGGATCAGCCCCCTATCGGGAATAAAAGCACTAATTTTATAGTGAAAGGTTTTCAGTTTTTGTTTAGCTCGTTTTAATTACGTTTATACTTTTGTAATCTAAAGAAGCTTCCTTTAATTAAAATCTTGATTTGAGGTTATACCTAATACAAAAATCGAATTAAGTAGGTATTGGGTGCCTACAGAGTTATTCAAACTATTCCACACCTTAATTTAATTATTTTTTTTAAATTAAACATTTCACTTGGTTTTTTGTTTGTTCTATTTTCTGATTATGTTTGACTTTTTGTGTTTTTATTTTCTAAGAATAGTTGGGTTGGAATAAAAATAAACAAATATTAAATTTTGATCTTAGGTACTCTATAGCTGAGATTTATATTATATTTCAAATCACATATTTAAGTTGACATTTTTCGGGAATACAAATATTTAGAGGATCGTTATCTGCTCGCGCTTGTATTTAAAACGTTTCCTCGAATTAAGATAGCGGCTAAAACAAAAAACGACGCGTTTTAAAATTCAAAGCAGGGTTCTCTTGAAAGAACCCGCTCACAAACAGTGTGACAAAATCAAGATAAAAACAAAACGTTATAAAATACTAAATTGGGACACAACCAGATGGGGTGAAGAGGTAAACTCTTTAATAACATATAACAACATCAGAGTCCATATTTCTTGACAGATGACGTCCTAATTGTATAATTACATGGCTAATGCTTAAACTATACCTAACGTTTAACGCGTTTTAGAACTAAGGTTTATACCGAAATTATCTAGGTAACAAAATTACTGTAAAGTAGTTTTTTATAATAGTGATTGATGGTGCGGTTTTATAGACTCGTGTCAAAATAATTTATATGGATTTATGGGAAATTAAAAATTAAAAATAACTAAAAATGCATTTAAGTACCAACAACATTTTTTGTTACATTAACATGTTAATGTAACAAAAAATGTTGTTGGTACTTACACCACTTTAGTTAACAATAGCCGAAATCATTATTTATTTAAACACATTTTAATGACATGTTGGCAGATGCTCCTATTTCGTTTTTATTTTAAAACTCAGTAGATATCCCTTGAAGACGTCTGGAAGATTTGAAATATATTTAGTGTTTTTATTGTTCATGGTATTAGCCTATAATAGAGGTAATAATGGGCCTCCTGTGGTAGGGTACGACCACCTAAAGTGCAAAGAAATCGGTAAAGAGCATCAAACATTCCTTTCGATGTTGAAAATGACTTGCATGAGCATCTGCGTAGGATGCATTTAATTACAAAGTGGAAAGGTCAAACCCTTATTTTTTCGGTTTTCAGTTTGTTTAAAACTTTATATAAAAATTGTATAACCTTGAATATGAACCAAACCAAGGTGACTTATTTCGGATTGTCATCTTGGCTTTAAAAAATGTTGATACCATAATCCTCTTTAAGGCTTTGGACCCTTTCAATCTGTAAAAAATTGGGATTTTAAAGATTACTACCGTCTGCCACTGCCGTTCATCATAACATTAAAAAGTATTATTATTTTTTATTTTTCATCTGATTGTTGCCTAAGCCTAAGCCTTTATTATTGTTGTTTCTTTTCTACAAACGGCGTCTCTACTAATAGAGATGTTGAGTTTTGATTAATTATTTAAGTTGTTACGACTATTAATCAAGGAATTTTTAACTGTGATAACGTTTATTAATTTAATAAAAAATTACCATGGACGATTAAAAATTTACTTAACGGCTAGATTAATCATAGATAATTATTACAACTCAAGCGAATTTTGGTTCTCACAGAGAAGTGTAATTTTCATCAACTATGTAAATGCAAAAAATAAGATAAATTACTCAATTTATACATACGAAAATGTTTCAAGATTTTTTTATATTTGGTTGTTTCACTGTTAGTCTAAAATGGGGTTTTTGGGAAGCCACCAGGTCTAGTAATAACATAACATAAGTGGTTCTGCACTAATGCAAGAATTTTAAGAAATCATGCATTTTGAATATTAGAGCTTCACGGAAGATAGCTTCACGGAGGTTAGGATTTCGTATGTTTTTTTAAAACATCCCTTTGTATATTTGAAATAAGTTGTTGTATCTTTTGACACCTTAATATTTAAAAAAATACAATTGTACAATGTACATACATAAAATATTTATACAAAAATTCTACTTACTGAGATATTACACTTCACGGTGGATAGGTTTTTAAATAGCAAATTATTGAACTTAAACTTTTGAATTATAAAACAGCAACACTCTCATCTGCATATAAATTCTAACTGATCTTCAGGAATCACATGCATCTATAATGTCGTAAACAGAGGTTTTTGCTTATTTAAAATGATTAAAGCGCCATCCGTTGCATAAAATTTAAAGCAAAAACAGATTCACGGAGGTTAGAATCAATTTTTGTAACACCTACATAAATGGTTATAAAAATTGTTTCTTTTAATTTTTAATAATATTTTATATTTGATTCCATTGCTTTGGATGTGTTTAATTTACTTAGTGAAGTGATATTTTTGGTATGCTTTTACTACCTCAGATATTTGAAAACATATAGGTTAACCTAGAAAGAGTAACAATCACGGAGGATAGGTTTTAGACTTTTAAAGCATTGTAAAAAATAATTAATTGCGGTTAAAAATCTGGAACCTGAGCTGTCATATCCACTTAATTATGAAAGATCAAAACACAATAAAAGTGTAGTTCAAACTCATTTAGTTTCATGAAATATCACGGGGTAACACCATCGGGGGACATCACAGTTTCTTGTTGCGGCTTGTTACCGGAACGAACGCGAATTATTGCGATAAAAGTCTCGCGAAGAATTTTAAAGTCCCATAAGATCTGGAGTGATCCACCTGCACATACAGAGCTGAACGTGATGGAAGAAATTGCGGTGATACATTTTTTGCCGCGCGAACTCATTATTAAATTCTAAAGTCGTCTATGCGTACAAAATGGACAAAGGAAATATATTTACAGACGTTCTGCGCATTATACAGTGAAATGATAAATAATACAGTTTTAAACAATGTCAATCCTGAACGCATTGGTATGCTGCCAATATAACCATAATCTTGTAATTTTTAAATAAAAAAATGTTGATAAGAAATGTTGTTTGATTAATCAATTTCCTAAACAAAAAAATTAACACATACCTACTCAAATGAACACAAAAATAACATACAAACAATTAAATAACACACCATTCTGAAATCATCAAAATATAAAGAAATTTTGTACAATATAATTATCAGTACTACTACAACACTTACTGATGTATTTCGTAACTTTAACCCACTTCACTGTATCCCCTAATTTCAGTTTGAAATAGCAATAATAACAGATTTCTGGTAATATATTATAAACACTCTGAGAAGACTTTTAATTAAGTAGCTTTTTTGCAACTCATCGCTTGAAACATCAATTTATCGAACAAAAGGAACAAGCTGTATAGAGCATATGGGCGCATCTTGAAACCCGATCACGGGATATTCCGTTTAAAAAATTAATCCACGAAGAATGGTAAACACCGATATAAAGTTACATGCTACATAAAAGTTCGAAAATAGATCCACTCAATAAGGAAACTAATTATTTTCTTCAACGCATAAAAGAAAAAAAAATAAACCAGAGTTTCCTTTATAAAAAATATTGAGATGTCCACCAAGTGAAAATGATTATTTTTCATTTTTGGTTGTTTCACTGCTAGTCTAGATGGGGTTTTTGGGAAGCCACCAGGTCTAGTAATAACATAACATAAGTGGTTCTGCGCTAATGCAAAAATTTTAAGAAATCATACATTTTGAATATTGGAGCTTCACGGAAGATAGCTTCACGGAGGTTAGGATTTCGTATATTTTTTTTAACATCCCTTTGTATATTTGAAATAAGTTATTGCATCTTTTGATACCTTAATATTTTTTAAAAATACAATAAAATATTTATAAAAAATCTACTTACTGAGATATTACACTTCACGGTAGATAGGTTTTTAAATAGCAAATTAATGAACTAAACT